TTATTTTTCTAAAGATTTATTTATTTGAAAGGCAGAGTTACAAACAGGGAGAGATAGAGAGAGAGAGAGATCTTCCATCCACTGATTCAATCCCTAAATGGCTGCATTGGCTGGAGCTGGGCTGATCTGAAGCCAGGAGCCAGGAGCCTCTTCTGAGTCTCCCACGTAGAGGCAGGTAACTTGAACCAGCGGTCCTATGGGATGCTGGCATTGCAGGCAACAGCTTTACCCGCGATACCACAACAACGGCCTCTTATTTTGCTTTTCAATCCTGTAAGTCCAGTGCCTGATGCATTGCATGCACTTAATAAATATTAATATTGTTGTTCACTCCTCAATTGGCTGCAATAGCCAGAGCTGGGCCCATCTGGACTTGGGTGATCTTCTACTGCTTTCCCAGGCCATAGCAGAGAGCTGGATCGGAAGTGGAGCAGCTGGGACTTGAACCAGCGCCCATATAGGATGCTGGCATTGCAGGCAGCGGCTTTACATGCTACACCACAGCGTCAGCCCCTATGATATTCTTGACATGAGCTAAAGTTGACCCAAGATTGCTGTGAGGAAACCCTGGGAATTTAGAAGATTCCACAAGCAGGTGAAGAAATGTCACGGCTGGCATAGAGGTGGTAAGATGAACCAGGTGGGAAGAGTTCCACGTAGAAAGGTAATTCAAAAAGTTCATGGAAAATGGAATTAAAATATAAGTTTATTTTGGTGCAAAATTTTTTGAAATGCCTTTTCAAACAATTCACAGAGAATGCATGGATTTCAAATTTTTTATTTCAAAAAAATTTTAAAAAGATTTACTGTATTTCTTTGAAAGGTATACTTAGAGGAACTCCAGGTGAGTCTCCCATGTGGGAGGCAGGGGCCCAAGCACTTGGACCATCTTCCGCTGATTTCTCAGGCAGGCAGCTGGATTGGAAGTATAGTGGCCAGGAGTTGAACTGGCATACATATGAGATATATTGGTGATGCAGGCAGCAGCTTAACCCATTACACCACTACGCAAGTCCCAATTTCAATTTTGTGCATGGATTTCAAAAATGTTTTGCATCAAAATAAACATCTTTTAATTTTATTTTTCTATGAACTTTCGAAGTACCCTGCTATGAAAGACTTCCTTACTTAAGATAGCCATAATGGGCTGGTGCTGCGGCATAGTAGATAAAGCCACTACCTGCAGTGCCGGCATCCCATATGGATGCTGGTTCAAGTCCCGGCTGCTCTACTTCTGATCCAGCTCTTTGCTATGGCCTGGGAAAGCAGTGGAAGATGGCCTAACTCCTTGGGCCCCTGCACCCGCGTGGGAGACCTGGAGGAAGCTCCTGGCTTTGGATCAGCCCAGCTCTGGCTGTTGCAGCATTTGGGGAGTGAACCAGCAGATAGAAGACCTCTCTCTCTCTGCTTTTGCCTCTCTGTAACTGTGCCTTTCAAATAAACAAAATAATCTTTCTAAAAAATGCTTTCCTTTAAAAAAGAACAGTCATAGTTGATAACTAAATAACAAGCGTTTGTTGCCTAATTTTGTGATTTAGGTTTGAAAATTTTCTCATACATGCCTTTCCCCTACTCTACATCTTTACTCCCTTGGTTTGAAGTCTTATGATGGGCTCTGAGGATAGGCACATTTTAAAGATAAGCTATCACGGATTCCGAGAGAATGTTTTATGGAGAGGAGCTTTGCAGAGGCCAAAATCACATCCTTGTTATGATAACCTTGATTGATGCTTTATGGCTTATGAAGCTTTCAGATCATCTGATGCTCACAGATGTATAATAAAGTTAACAGCTAACAATCAAAGTCTTCAGTTTATGGATTAGAAGGGAGGCTCTCCAAGGAGGTTGATTCTTACGAGTTAAAGTGAAAACAAAAGCAAATGAACATTTTTTTGAGTGCTTACTATGTGGTGAGGCATCCTCAGCACATCCCCATGAGACAGGTAACCATTATTGTTATTTCCATTTTACAGATGAGGAAACTGAGACTTGGAGAGGTAACTTGGCTCAAACTGCATAACCTAAGGAAGCACAGAGCCAGGCTTCAATCCAGTCTGTCTCTAGAGTTTCAATGATAAACAGCTATGCTAATGAATAGCATGGGTGACCTGTCCATCAAGTTCACTGTGTTATCTGTATTTGCCACTGAAGAACTTCTGCCTCCTGGTTCAAATCTACTTCTGGTTGATTTTTTTTAATGTTTATAGTTTCACTTTTAGAATTTATCAGTTAGAGACCACAGCGATGTTGTTGCACATGATTGAAATTATATCACTAAGTTCAGATAAAAATCCTCTACATTTACTGATTTAAAAACATTACGGAGGGGACGATGTTGTGGCATAGCAGGAAAAGCTGCTGCCTGCAATCCTGGCATCCCATCTGGGCACTGGTTCCTGTCCTGGCTGCCCTACTTCTAATCCAGCTCCTTGCCCATGGCCTGGGAAAAGCAGCAGAAGATGGCTGGGAAGAAGCTCCTGGCTTCGGCCTGGCTCATCCTGGGCTGTTGTGGCCATTTGGGAAGTGAGCCAGCAGACAGAAGACCTCTCTTTCTCTCTCTCTCTGTAACCTTGACTTTTCAAATAAATAAATAAATAAATAAATAAATAAAATCTTTAATATCCAAGTCTCGCTCTATGGGTTCTCGTATCATTATTTTCTTTAACTGAAAAGAGTACATGAAAATGCCATAATTTATGGCTTAAAGCCACAAGGCCTTGCCTAGAGATGCAGATAGGAAAGTGATCCAGCCAGAATCTTGGGCCTGTGCAGAGTGAGATATCTAAGGTCCCTGAACACAGCTCAGCACAGAGTGCCATTTGTGTGTCTTTCAAGTATCACAGCATTTCAAAGCGACATTGGAAAGGATATTGGCTTATATATGGCTTTCTGTGCTATCTGTGCCTCTTGCCCTCGCTACTATGGATCAGTGAGGTGTTAATATACAGCGGTGACATTCTAGTAGCTGAAGGCAGGGGGCAGTTACCAAGGGCAATCTGAACTTCTGCTTAGTATATTCACCCTTGCTGTTTTCTTTCCTCCTCATTTGTAATGCAGGAAGCTCTCTGAGAAGAGACAGCAAGGCTTCTCATAGATGGATCGGAGGACCAGGAGCTGGGATGCCAGGCTCTATGACAAGGTCTGCTGCTGAATTTGCTCTGCTACCTTTAGGCAAACGATTTGATCACACTGTGCTTGTGTTTCTTCCTGGGCTTGCTAAATGTAAATAACATGCACTTGAATATCTTGTGGTGATTACAGAGTATCTTAAACGTGTGGGTGGTTGTTTTTCCAGGCTAGCTGCTCAGGCAATAAAACAAAACCTGCTCCTTTGAGATCTAGGCTTCCTGGCAGTCCACCGACCCACAAGTCTTCAGACCACAGCAGCCACCTATTTGCTTCTTGCTCATCTGACACATGTGGCAGTGTCTGAGCTGCAGCTCAGCAGGCTGACTCTACAGTTGGGAAAAACCTTTGTCTACAGAAATGAAATATGCCACTTTATGCCCTCCTGTGGCTCTCACTACTCCCCCCTCCCCCTTTAAAAATATGAAGGCTTTCTTCTGAGAAAGGACTGGTTTATCTGGGATACTGATCCCAAGGGGAGGACGGGGAGCACTGACATAGTACACAACCTGAGTTATCTGGACTTGGCTACTACAGTTCCTTTTCCGTGGTTCGGGCCAAAGGGTTGAACTAGATTTATAGAGGCACAGGATCTTTGGGGTTTTGGCAAAGTGGTCATGGAGTACACTGGAAACAGAGAACAAAAAAACCCTGTGCCTCCTTTGGTTATAACCTGTGTCATATCAGCAACAGGCTAACCCTGTTAAGGAAAGGTGCCACGCTGAATTTCCAGACGATAGTGTGTTTGTAAGCAATGAGTTTGTTCCTAGTCTGTGGGTCATCACCCCACCATTTCATAAATGAAAAATCTCTGTAATGTGGAATTCACCAAAAGGCTTATTTCCTTTAAAGTAAAAGGAAATGTATTTCATTATTTCTGGTGCAGGTAAGTGAAAAGCATTTGCCGGACAAACCTTGGAAGGTGCTTAATGAGGGCCTAGGAATACGAGTATGTTACTCCTTAGTTGTCGCTGGAGAAGCAGCAGCAGCAGGAAGAACTTCGGACACAGGCACACGGTGTAACCCTACAGCTTTGAAACGCTCCTAGGTCTCCTCGTGCCGTAAATGATCGAAGAAACATCCGGGGTAAAGCTGCTCCCCCAAGCGAGTAAGCTTCAGGAGCGTCGGGTCCCACTCCCATCTGCCAGTTCGAGCAAACCAAGCTTGGGGTCTTCCTTCTTGGGCAGGGTCACCAATACGGCAGAACACTCATCAACCGTGCGTAGTCACACTCCTGCCTCTTAGAAACCCGTCGCCAGTGACTCGTCAGCCGGGAGAACCGGTGGGCAGGTAGCGATGGTGGGAAGGCGAAGAGGGAGGGAGGGGTCCATAGCATCCTTTCCCCTCAATCTCGCCTCGCAGCTTCCGCTAAGCAGGGTGGGGGTCTGGCTCGTGGCCTCCAAATGCAAACCGGAGACCACGCAGCTGGGCCGGTAACAGAACTGGCAGGGGCCGTCTCTCTGGAAAAGTCTCGAAGCAGGGTCCGCAAGTTCTAGGTCATCTCCTAGGTCAATCTACGCGATCAGGTTAAAAGTCCCACCGCGGGTTGGGCTGAGAGGCCCAGAGGCAACGGCCCAGGCGAAGACAGACCAGAGGTGCTGTGGGCACCACCGTGGAAGGGCAGGAAGCAATTACCGCCAGTCCTAAATACGTGAAAAACCCTCTCCGCCATTCCCAGCGGCCGCGACCGCGCAGAGAAGCGGGAACGCGCGTCAGGAGAGTGCGCGCTCCCTTTGTCCCGCCTCCCGGCCGGCCCGCTCATTGGACGGAGCGCGCGCGCCCGGAGAAAACGCGCCGCGGCCGCTTGTACGTGCTCCGGGTGGAAACTGGGGCCGGCTGCGGCAGCGTTCCGCGGCCGGAAGGGAAGGGGAGGCGACAGGCTGTGCGCCGGCCGCTCCTCCCCGCCACCCCCTCCCCCGCCTCGGCCCTGAAGGGGCTGGATGGGCAAGTTGGACGCGATGGCTCGAGCCCGGGCGGCGGCGGCGGTGGCCGGAGGCGGCGGCGCCTCCTCCTCCTCGCCCCGGCGCCGGCGGTGATCGGCGCTAGCGGCCGCGGCTCCCGATGAGACTGTTGGCGAGCTGGCTGTGCCTGAGCCTGGCGTCCGTGTGGCTGGCGCGGAGAATGTGGACGCTGCGGAGCCCGCTCACCCGCTCCCTGTACGTGAACATGACGAGCGGCCCCAGCGGGCCGGCGGCGGCCGCGGGTGGCAGGAAGGAGAACCACCAGGTACTGGCCGAGGCCCGGGCCGGGGCCGGGGCCGGGGCGGGGGCGTGGCGGCCCGGCCTTCCCGCGCTCGGCCCCGCTATTGTGCCCGGAGCGAGGCGAGGGGCACTGTCCGACCCTCGCCCCGGCCCCTCAGAAAGTTTTCCCTGCGTCTTCGCCGTCGGGCGCGGGCTCCGCGACGCCCCTGGGCGCCCGGCCCGGCCCCGCGGCGCCTTTTGTTCCCGGGCGCGGGCGGAGGGCGGCCCTCCCTCTCCCCTCCCCCGGCCGGAGCGTGGGCGCCCCGGAGCCCCGCATTGTTCCCGGGTCGCGGGCGGTGGTGGCAGGCGCTCGGCCACCTGGTTGTCCGCTGCCGGCGGCAGCACTGGAGGAACTTCGGGACGGTGTGGGGCCAGGGCTCCCGGGGGGCCTGAGATTGAAAAAAAAAAAAAAAAACCCACAAACTCATTACCCCCGATTCCCGAGAAACAACAGAACGAAAACCCGGTGCCTCTTTTTGTCTAGTGGAATCCTAGAACCTACAAAGGGTCCTAAAGAGATTCAGCCGAGCCTCGAGAGCCAGTTAACTCTCCCGGCTTATTCGGGTGACATTTTCCCTCAGCGCTTAAAAAAAAAATGTGTGACAGGTCTTCTGGCTCGCGTCCTTACCCACCGTTTCCTTGTGAACGTGAGCGAGATCGCCCTTAAACTTCGATTTAGTTAGCTGACCGGAACGGTTGTGATCCTGCAGAAGATGATGCAAGGGATTTTAGAACCGAAGGGAGCAACAGGGAATCCTTGAATCGGAGTTGCAGGGTTGGATCGTGAGCGACGCGATGTCACCGGTTGGGTGACACTTAACGAAGTATGTAACAGGCCAGCCGTAGAATTAGTGTGAGGGATTTCATGTTTGACCATAATGGAGTTTGCAGCTAACCTTAAACATTCGTGCAAGGGAGTCTTCTAAGCCCTGCCAGTGTGGGCTCATAATAGCTCTAGCATTTGCAGCTATTTGAGAGCACAGTAACTAATTATTCCCCATATCATCATAATTTTTATGTATTCCTCATTTTCCTGTGTTATTTTCTTAGTATGCCAGATGTTCAGAGACTTTACACCCAGGTTGATTGCGTGTGTTTTAGGGAAGGTAAATGATTATCCAAGGAGATAAAGCAATTCACTTAGAAAAGGAACATTTAATTTTTATCTAGTAAATATTTATTGTGACCTTTTCTCTATTTTTAAAGGAATGCCAAGTTTCTATACAGTTTTTGGAAATCCCTCAGCAATTTGTTAGGCCATCACTTCTATGATATCATTAGAAATGTCCATAAATATTGTACACACTGTAATTGTAAAACCAGATTGATTGCTGTGAATTAATTACTTATATGAGTTACTTCTTGTGGAAACAATACTAAAGTTCTGTACGGTTAATTGTATACTGTTATCAGAATGTCACATATCCATATGGAACATGGATAATGGTGTACAACAATGAATTAGAAATGTCAGTTTAAACAAGCAACTGAAATAAAGTCCTGGATAGGAAAAAAAAATTGATTTCCGTCGACACGGAATTACGATTGTTGGTGTTTGTGAAAATATTTGACATGATTATTTTCTACTGCAGCAACTTGATACGTTTTCAGTGCTCATAAAAGATTTGCACTTTAACAATTGAAAACTTGTTTAAAAAGTCTGATTTTTATGTGGACATAGCCTGAGAATATCTCCCAACAGAGAATACTTTTTAGTTCTGTACCTTTTTAAAGCTGAGTTGGTCCATTTTTCGTGAAAACTAATGCAGGTTTCAGATACCTCATTGACTTTACGTGTCTCAGACACTGGCATGCGTTGGTGTGTTTTAATCAGTTGCTTTAGCAATTGGCAGATAATTCTTCAGGCTGAAGATCAATCTCGTGCTGAATATTTAGGGGGATCAACTGTTTTCCTTAGAATAATGAATCCAGATACTAATTTTGAGATGAATATACTCACATTATGAAAATAATTGTCCATGAATCAAGATTAAAATGAACAAAAGAAAAATGTGTATAGAAAAAAGTGTCGAGCCGGCGCCGTGGCTCAATAGGCTAATCCTCTGCCTTGCGGCGCCGGCACACCGGGGTCTAGTCCCGGTCGGGGTGCCGGATTCTGTCCCGGTTGCCCCTCTTCCAGGCCAGCTCTCTGCTATGGCCAGGGAGTGCAGTGGAGGATGGCCCAGGTGCTTGGGCCCTGCACCCCATGGGAGACCAGGAAAAGCACCTGGATCCTGGCTCCTGCCATCGGATCAGCGCGGTGCGCCGGCTGCAGCGGCGGCCATTGGAGGGTGATCCAACGGCAAAGGAAGACCTTTCTCTCTCTGTCTCTCTCTCTCACTGTCCACTCTGCCTGTCAAAAAAAAAAAAAAAAAAAGTGTCATAGATAAAGTGAATGGACAGTTGGAGGCCGTCCATTCTGCTTTGTGGGGGAGTTGGTGATTTGTTATGTTATAGTCCAGGATCTTGGGTTTGTCTTATAACTTTGTTGCTTGTGAAGTAACTTTAATGGTTTTTCCCCTTTCCCATTAATTGTTTTATACAAGGTCTTCTGGTGTTCATTTGGGAGTGTGGCTCCCATAGCCAGCCACATCTGGTTCTTTTGGAGTTACATGAAAGTAGAGTTATGGATTTGATTGAACCATACTTAGCACAAGTCTTCCTTCTGGTTATTTTATTAAGGAATTATGATGGAGAAAGCTATGGTTAAAAGAGAGGTCTTGGGCAATGCTTATTTATTAAATATTGCTGCTTAGTTAGTATAGCCTGGAGAAGAAGCAAGGCTCCTCTGCGCTAAAGTGGCTCCAGAGCTATCACCACAGCACCATTTTAATGACTTGGTGCTATGTGCAAGCTTCAGAACTGGGATTGTGCTTCATTTTGGGCAAGCAGGAAGCAAGGGCTTCTTTGAGACCAGGGGCAAGTCTTGTGAAGTAAGAATAGCTTTCTGTGGGTAAATGTTTACCAAGAAAAAAGTTAAAATACAGTTTTGTAACATGAGACTTTCATATATGATATGCAAGTTTCAGTGTCCACAAATAAAGTGTGGCTGAAACAGGGCAGCCACAGAAGTTTTCCTGTCGTCTGTGAGTGCTCCTGGGCTTCAGCCGCAGAGTTGAGTAGTTGCTGCTGTGTGGCCTGCATGCCCCAAATACTTACTGTCTATCCCTTGACAGAATGAGTTTTTCTAAGAGAAACATTCCTAGTGTCTTCACCAGCAGAGAGAGAGTGTGTGTGTGTGTGTATGTGTATTAAGATTTATTTTATTTATTTGAAAGGCAGAGTTACAGAAAGGCAGAGGCAAAGAGAGAGACAGAGACACACACACAAAGAGGTCTTCTAGCCACTGGTTCACTCCTCAGATGGCCGCAACAGCTGGAGCTGGGCCAATCCAAAGCCAGGAGCCAGACTTCTTCCAGGTCTCTCATGTGGGTGCAGGGGCCCAAGGACTTGGACCACCTTCTACTGCTTTTCCAGGCCATAACAGAGAGCTGGACTGGAAGTGGAGCAGCCAGGGCTCAAACTGGTGTCCATATGGGATGCCGGCACTGCAGGTGGCGGCTTTACCTGCTACACCCAGCAATATATTCTTAATGACAGGTTGCAGAATGGGGAGGTTGACTCACTGGGGAGAAACAGAGTGGTGAGAAACTATTAGGTGTCACTTTTCAATGTTGATAGATTGAGAAGTTGAAAAGAAAATGATAACAAAAAGCTTTAGATCTGGTCTTTTTGAAGCATTGCACCTAGTGCTTAAAGTTGATGTGAATATTATGGAGCTCTTGAAACTAGAAAGGACCTTGAAGCCCACTAACTAGGTTCTTGGTAATAACAGTCATTCAACAGCTTCTCAATTGACAGAGTGAAAAAAAGTTAGAGAACTTGTTGGAACTAGACCATGACAGTTTCTCCAGGTGTAAAGTTTTTTTTTTTTTAAACCCAGATAATATTCAATATCCGGAATTGTTAAAATGTAACAAAATTGCAAGCATATGTATATCTGTAACTTATTTTTTCCTCTTCTTATATAAGCTCAGAACTGTGCTATGCCACAAGCAATGATGGATTCAAGAAGGATTGAAATCATTTGCTTGCTTTTTCTTTTCTTTTCCCCAAATGGGAATATACTTGGACACAGTTGCAGCCAAAGTCAAATGTGCAGAAGGACTGATCCAGTTTCCTGTTTCTTTACCCCTCATTTACCTTGTGGAGGCTGAGCAAGTCAGGCCTGAGTTAACAATGCTTCAGGGCTGTCAGCCAGCTGGCCAGGCGGACCCTGACGGATTGCTGTCCTCTCAACTGCTTTCCAGGTCCGGAGGCCCCTGCACCGAATACTGAAGAGACTTTGGAAAGGGTTTCTTTCCTTCGTTATAACCTGTATTGAAACCCTGAACAAGTGTTTGACAAAACACTATCCCCTTTGAAGGTTCTGTGGAAGACCCTGTTGTTTAGATCCTTGAAGCTTTGTTAACAATCTTAGGGTGGTGAAATACAAACAATGAGTGAGAATTTGAAGGGAGGGTTGCCAGTCATTTATTAAAGCTGAAACAACTCAGTCTATATAAATGCGCTGCCTGTTGCTTTACACATTAATGGCTCAAGGAGATTATCAGGTTGGTTTGTATATTTACTTCTCTGCTTCTCTGTGTTTCGATATAAGAAGATGTCAGTGGCGAAATGCCTGGCCTGTTTTGGTTAACACTGCAGAATCTGAGAATGTGGTTTTTAGATCATAAGCTGTCAAGATCAGCCTGCTTGGTCTGACCGTTCTGTGTAGCAGAAAAGAGTGTGTTCATGGATCCCAAGCTGTGGAGCCTTTGGGGTGTTTTTGGTGGCCTTGAGTTCCTCGGGTCTTTGGTTGCCTGTTTCTTTTGAGAATGGCAGGTTGCCCAGACCTACAGTGTGGTTTTTCAGCATTCCCTTGAACCGCACTTCTCCTCCAGCCTCTTTTCTGTCCTGTTGGATGAGAAAGGGAAAGGACATGAA